CAATCTGCAGTCAGTTGGTCAGAAGGACAAGTGACAACCTGGGCTTGTGACTGGCATCTAAAGTGGAGATGGGGGCATTCTTGTAGGACTGAGCCCTTCATCTATGGAATCTAATGCTATCTCTGGGTAGATAGTGTCAGAATTGCATTGAATTGTAGGACACCCAGCTGGTGTTGGAGACTTGCTCGTATGTGTGGAGGACCACCCCCCTCAACCACACACACATTGGAATTGGGTGTAGGATCCTTTTACACACCTTTCTTGCTTACTCTCCTCTCCTACCAAGGTGAGGGTTAGATGCTCCTGCCAAGTGCTGCTGTAACATACTTGTCTCAGTCCTTGACAGCATCATTTTTACTCACCAGCCTCCCAGCTAGGCAGTGAGCGCCATGAAGACAGGAGCTTGGCCTGTCCACTGCTGCGTCCCAGAGCCAGCACAGATCCCGACTCATACCCACCCCTTAACCAGGGCTCGTGGAGTGAAGGAATGGACGCTGGGCTGGGCTGGCTTGTGGAAAGGGGAGGTGAGGAGGACAGGGACCAGGTGAGGCTAACAAAAGCATATCAGTGACTCTTACCCCCAAAAGGATGGCCACAGGACCGTATTGCCCATTGCCCCTAAACGTGCTTGCTGCTGGCCTCTATTCTAGTGCTAGGAGAGTGAGCGTTGAGTTTTGGAGGGGCCTCAGGCTTTGGGGGAGTGGCGGTTCTGGGCTCTGTATTTTTGCCACCTGTTTTGGGGGAATCCTGTCTGGGAGGAGGAGTGAGCCCTGCCCTGTTCCTTGCCTGTCCTTGCCTCACCTGAGCACATGTTGCTGGGCTCTTAGTCCTGGCCTCGGTGTAACTGCTCTCATCTGAAACCCCACTCTTCTTTCAGTGGGACATATTGGCTTGACTTACAAATTTAAAATTATTTAATTTTACTATCTTTACATTTCTAATACTTTTGCTAATAGTATTCACTTTATCCTTCATCCTTTATCACTTTATCCTTTAACTTCCTAGTTTTTCTTATACTTTTTAGTCTACTATTGGGTAACTTTTTAACCAGTTTGATCTTATTTTTTGGACACTATTTTATATTCCTTTTAACTCTGCCCAGCAGGATACTTTGAGCTATATTTTGCCCTTATTAGAATACACTCTTAAATTAAGTGCATATTTCTTTTCTTAGCCATTTAAAAATGTATCAGAATTCTCTAGCATTTCCTTTTACTCTTTATGTTTTTAAAACATTTCTGTTTGGTGTATCCTCTAGTACATTTTCTAGCATTTGCTGCTGTTAGAGATGAGACGTGGTGGTGTCAAGGCGGTGGATGCCACAGCAGTGATGGGCTTAATCAGGGATCGTTGGCCTGTCTCCCTGTGCTGACAGTCTGTGCAGACATGCTCTCCCTTTGCTATGCACCCCACCCCCCATATTCAAAGGAGGTTCTCTTGCTGGTGTTAGAACAGCGACATGATATTCACATGGTCAAGAAAAAGTGTGTCTCAAGTTAAATCCCACTTTTAGCCAGTCAGATAATTTGGGAAATTCACATGGCAAATTATGTAGGTCGGAAGTTGTTAAGACTAGCTTCAAATACTGCTCAGGGAAATTGCTGAACAATGTCATCATCTGGTTCCAGAAGAAACTGGGCCTTCTCTAAACCACAAACCACAGTCTCTGAGCATCTCGCAGTCTTAATGGAGAATGGAAACTTCAGGAGAGGTGGGGATGAGGGTCCACACCTCGGCACCGTCAGACTGGCCCGAGAGAATGCCCAAATGGCCTTGACAGTCCCGTTAAGAACTATAGGATGGAAGCATAATTGAGGGACAATAGTCAATGCTGGAATTATATTTTGTTGACCTACTTACAGGATTAACCGGAGTACATTGATTCACCTTCTTTCTGGTCAGGAATTCAAAAGCTCAGTTATCAAATGCGTCTTAGAACCCCAGTTCTTGTCACATGTACAGTACGGCCTCCGACTCATGGAGGGAGGCAGGCAGTGGGAGTCAAGTCCATCGTGGAGGGAGGGGAAACTGTTCTGGAAAGGTTTATCTCTTTCTTCTCCTTGTTATGTAAGATGTGGTTTCTCCAAAGAAACAATATGCTGAATAAAAGTTAGAGTCCCAACCCATGGAAGCCGATTTTAACCCACATTGTTGTTGACTGTATTCAGTTTGATCTGATTCAAATCAACAAGGTAGAGTTGTTGTTTTTTCCTGCCAGAAAGGGGACGTAGGCTCTGAGAGTGACACAAATGGAGCTATCGAGAGTCTTCACTGAGCAAGGCAGAGCATGTGTATGTGCTGGGGGGAGAGTAGAGTGGAAAGTTGTATAAAATGTGGCTCCTGCCCTCCAGAAGCTCACACTGTAGTTGGAGAAATAGACACACACTCAACTAATATGTGCAGTGATAATGGTGGAAGTGTTGTCAGACCAGAGAACAACAGAAGTATTAGTTCTGAGTGGGAAAATCTGGGAGATTGTGGACGATGTGGCAGCTGTCCCTTGAAGGATGTTAGGGCATTAAGCAGCAGAGGGGCAAAGACAGGGTGGACATTAGAGGCAGAGAAAATAGTTGGGGCGGATCCAGTCACAGGGCAGAATCAGGGAACAGCCAAGAAGCTGCTGTAGGGGAAGGGAGGTGGGAGGAAGAGCATGGGGACAGCTGGGTTTTGTGAGTTGGTCTCGTGGTCTCATGACTTACATAGGAGGTAACTGTCTGTGCTTTTCATGTTGAATTACAGTCCAGTAATTTTCAAAAGTGTAATTCTTCTAAACAAATATATTCTTGTCTCAGAGTGAAGAGCTGTCTCACATTCAATAGTTCATTACCATGAAGAATAAGATGGTGATTAATTGTGAAATATTTGTTATATTTAACTTCCTAGGGATAGATTTGTCAAAAAAGCAGCACAAGAGATGTTTCGATCGCTTTATGTCCTTCTGTAACTCTGTACCTTATCATGGATAAAGCATACCATGCCTCATTCTGTCATTGAGGATACCAAGTCTGCAGGCTCTTATGTGGGGTCAGGAGGAGGAATAAATGGAAAAAATGTTTCTAACAAGGGTCAGGCCCGAGAATAACTTGCCAATGACCGTGGAGATCTAATATCAGTGCCCAGCTATTTGTATGAGTATCTGAACAGCATTTTACATGAACTTTGTGTGTGGGGGGGATGGGGGGGTGGTGTCTATGTAGTGAGGATGGTGTAGGCAGTAAGAAATCAAAGACATGACCTCTGGCTCAGTGGTGTTTACATGATTTTTATGTTATCTGGACAAGAAGCTAAATGGAATTCAATCTTTTATGGAGATATTGGTTGAACCAAGCATTTATCCACATCTCCATCTGCAGTTAAATTTTTCCAGTGAGGAACTGTAAAGTAGAAAACTCATGGATAGAGTCTCTTGAATTCCTGAAAATCCAGTTCATTTGTAAGTCACTAATAGGTAACAATATATGTACATATTAAATATATTATAAAATATCTGGTGAGATACTTTAAGAAAATGCTTTTGAAATTTTACAGAGTAATTACATCTACGTCTGTTTTTCATTTTGCTTGGTCAACATTACGCTCTTGAAGATTGACACCACTGTAATTTGATTTTGAATTACACACTAGTAGTATCTTAACTGGGGAAATCTCTCATCTTACTCTTAAAAATACTGGCTCTATCTCATCTCACTCTTAAAAATACTGGCTCCAGTCCTGATGGGGGACTTTTTGAAGAACTATTATTTTGTTTCTTACCCTTTGTCTTACATCTATCTGAGTGAAGAGAAAACCAATAATTTGAGCATTTGATCCATTTATACATTTCTGCTCCCTCACTCTCCTTCATAGGGAGACAGCTTTTCAATTGTAAATTTTCACCTCTATGGGCAAATGACAAATAATGTAGCTGTGTTACCAACAATTGGAAAGAAAACAAAACCATCCATAACACTCAATATTTGGCTAGCAGTAAGGAATGGTATGATAAATTATGGTACCTGGTTAAAATGGCATATTACACAATTGTTAAGTGATAATTAGGAACACTGCATAGAGACATGAAAACATACTTAGGAAATAAAAGAGAAAAGAAAACGAGCAGATTGTAATGTGTAAGGTACGTTCATGTGTAGCAGAGGCCTGGAAGATAATATACTAAAATGAAAATACAGTAGTTCTGTTAGGATGGTGGGACCATGGATTTTCAAAAACATTTTATTTAATGCTATAAAATAATAGTAAAGCCGCAAATTCACCAAATAAATGATGCTGTAGGTGCAGGGTGGGGTGATACTCACTAATAAGTAGAGGTTGCATGTTACAAAAGGGAAAAGCATTTAAAAGAATGAATCTTCCTTCTCTACATTTGCCAGCTCCATGGATATTAAGATCCCAGCTATTGAAAACATTCTCAAAGGAGCTGATTAGCAGGGTTTGGAAGACAGCCTGAACTTAACTGTGTCTGGATTTTGTTTGCCATGATTGCAGTGGAAACTAAATCTTGAAACAGTTGTCTAAATATGCTCCAGCTTGGGTATCTTGGCTGAATTCACACTTTGGAATCAAGAAACAATTTGGAAAAAGAAGCCATGTGTAATATAAATAGGAATATAGAGCAAGAGAAACTCAGTAGAGAAGACTTCACAAATAAAATGCCTATTTAAAATCAAGTTGAAATGACTATTTGGATTAACAGCCAATAAAAAAATAGCCCATGCCAACTTAAATTCCTATCTGTCTGAAAGCTCTTAGAGGATACCAGAAGCAACCCTCATGTTGGTCGTGTTGATGTTAACCATTTGCTAGCACTGTTGTTGGAATGAACTGCTCTGCTTTCCTCTAAAGGACTCAGATCCCTTTGTCTTCTCTTCCACCTCTGTTCAGAAGAACGACAGTTTTACCCTGAATAGCACTTAACAAGCGTAGGTGTGGGGCACTAGGCTACCTGGCTTCACGTTAGGGGAGGGTTTGCTTAATATAAGATGTTAAGAAAAATTCACACACACAGTCACAACATTTTATTCTTTTTGGTCAAAGTTAATCCTCGCAGCTCCACACTTGCACATCATTATTTTAGCACGGCAGAAAATTCCCCCAAATACACACTGAGATACTTCAAGTATCTTCAGTAGTACCTGAAAATGCGGTAAGATACTTTATCTCTCTAAACTAGTAGTTGACTTTGGATTTGGACAGTGGAGTGTGTGTGTGTGCATGTGTGCATGTGTGCGTGTGTGTGTGTGTGTGTGTGTGTGGCATCAAGGAGTTTGAGCTGAAGAAATCAGAAAATAACTTTTCCAAACCCAAACCATACCTGACACTACAAGCATTTCTTTTCAGACCCTATGTAGGATTTGCTGAGTCTGTCTTGAACATCTCTCTCTGATGTCTTGCTATCTCCTCACCTCTAAAGATGTCCAAAAATGGCAAACAAATTAAAGAAAGTTTTTATTCCTAAGAGTTAGCCAATAATTTTCACCCTCGTAGAAACATGATTTCCATCTTTCAAAATGCATTAGAATTATTAACAGGTATTGTGATTTTAGGAAACTATTTTCCCTCCATTCCAAAACCAAAGTAAATTACATTTAGTGCAAAAGGATATGTGTTTGACCATTTGGAGACTGTACCAATATTGCAATTTTTTTTCCTTAAAAATATTTTACCCTTAACGTTTTCATTTTATTCCCACAAGTGTATTTTGTTGGATAAATACTATTTGGGAATAAAACAAACCTGCTCTCATACATTTATAAAATTCTTTAGAATAGCAACAAGAATTCAGTCATGTTGCATAACTGTTATCATGAATTGCATAACTTTGGCATGCATTTTGCTATAACTCATTTTCTGGTAATATATAAAGTGCCTTTGATAGAATACCATAGAATATTCAAACTGGGAATGAATGATGGAAATAATCTAGTGTAAGTCAGTCCCACTTCTCCCATATCAGGGACTGATGTACAAGAAGATAACGTTTTCCTAGGATCACACGTCTCACTTCCCAACATTTAAGCCCTACTAAAATAATTATATACTTTTGATGTTAAATTTGATTGGAAAATTGCGATGTTTAAGGGCATGATTCTTACGACAGAATAATTGCTACACTTAAAGAATTGCAGAATTGGACCTGAAATACACAAAAAAGGTATGCCCAACATTTTTGTCCTCATTTCTCCTTTTGGGAGAAAGTGGCTGAAACTATATGATCATTAAAAATAAATCATCAATCTTTGAAGGATGCAAAGTTATCCTGATCTTCAGGATGAAATATAATACCATTTCTATATATAATTCAATATTTCTCTCCTGCAGGGATCAAATGGAATTTTGGTTGATTGCCAGTTGAGCAAATAAAATAGGAAACACATTTTAGGATCCCATTGTGATTTTTTTTTCCCTTAGCAGCAAAAAGTTAAATAAAACAGACCTTTGTCATGTAATATTCACTGAGCAGGTAAACTTAATAAAACTGGGCTTTAGTTAAGTCTAGTGGATTAACTCCTGTTTCATTGGCATTTACAGTTTTGGGGAGTGTTGAACAAATGTACAAATAATGACATTTCCAGAAACTTAACCATTGCATTTCATGTAAATTCTACATGAAGTTCAAGACAAATAGTATTGATGTCATAGTCTTCAGATTTTAAAAGGCATATTAGAATAATAATTACATCTCCCAGAAAGGTTAAAGATACTTGTATACATATATAAAATCCATTTTGACTTGATGAAAACAAATTCTAATCTATGAAAATATTATATCAAGTTGTATTGCACCTGATGAAGAAATTATACATGAATGATAGTAAATGCTAACAAACAAACAAACAAACAAACAAAAAAACCACTTCAGATGAAGACCCGGTAAGTCAATTTAAATGAAGAGTTTAAGAAGTAACATAGCTATCTAAAAATGTTAGTTATTCACACAACTGGTCACACTTATTTTACTTTATTTAAAAATCCCTGATCTTAATATCATAAAACTCAATTACATGATTCAGCTGTCTTTAACTCCCCTTTCTCCAGTAACCACCACACCTTAGGAGGGACATAGCTGTTCTATCTTAATATTTTTTCTTTCAGCAAATAATAAGTGTGAAAAGCTTTCACCAGACAGAAATCATTTCATATAATGAAGCATTGAATTGTTTTTTCTTTCAATTTCTTCAGACTGAAAACAGCTCAGTTTCCCTATGAATAGTCCATATATCATTTCATGCCTGGTATCTGCAGCCCACTCTGGATTTATCTTGCTTTCAGCAGGGACTGACAGTATTTTTCGGGTCGTTTTACAAAACATCCAACGTGGTTTAAATTGTTAAAAAGCAATTGGAACTGCTTCCTTTCCTACCCACTGCCTCTTCCAGGGTCCTTAATCCTCATCACCCTTCCCTAAAATGTGTCCCCGACATGCCTATTTACATGGCTCTCAGGCACCGGAGGTGTGCACACCCATCACATACCAGATCAATTTCTAACAGTGTGAAGGCTGTTGGAGCAGGGCAGTTTCCTTCCATTGGAAGCTGAGTGTAGTCGTATTTCTATCAACACAGCAGCTCTTGTATGCAAAGCTTAGACTATCGTCTCGTGGTCCCACCTGCCTTGACTCTGACTGATGTAACAACAGTATCTGTCATAGGGGCTGTTCTGCTTGTAGGAGCAAACGATGATACTGTCCTGGGGCACGAAGAAGATGCTGTCCTCGGGCTCAGGGCGCTCAGACTTGTCCCAGGCTGAGCACTTGACGTCCAAGGCACTGTAGATGATGGAACTGCCCGAGGGACAGTAGCCATCCAGGTACCTGGATGTCTCCTCCCGATGCCCGCTCTGGACTGGGCTCTGGCATCCTCCTTCCTCCGTGCGTGTGGGGGTGGTGATGGAGCTGGCCATAGGCACCTCGCCCTGCCCTTGGAGGGGAGGCTTCCCCCTGAGGCCCGCCTTCTTAGCCAGCTCATCTGAGCTCCCCTGGCCCGACTCCAGGTCTGAAGGGGTCCTCAGCAGTTCCACCACCTCCTTGTCCTTGGCTTTCCGGAAGCAGGGCAACTTGCGGACCCACAGCAGCTCGTTCTCGGGCCACTTGGTGCACCCCTCGGTTTTCCTGGCCAGGGCGATGGCTGCAATGCCTGGTAAGCAGATGGCGGGCCCTATGGCCAGGAGGGGGATGTTTCCCAGAGTCTCTCCTTTCATCCCAGAGACGGTGAACATGAAGCCAAAGACCAGGAAGACACTGACCAGGGCCACGACCAGCCCAGTCCTCGGGTTAATGTCATCAGGCCGCATCTTTCACTCCATCCAGGTTGGGGCTGCCTACTGACCAGAGAGCAATGGTCTTCCCTTCTGTCAGAGGTGAAACCACAGTGGGTTAAGAACAAAACAGAACAAAAAACAAAGCACCCAAGTCAATTTCCCACCCACCAACTGCCTCTCTTACTTGTCTCTGACACTCTACTTGTCTGACAATCTTGGTCTCTGTCTGCTTCTCCCTCTGTTTCTGTTGCTGTCTCTTTGCCTATCTGCCTCTCACTATTGCAACGCCGTCTCTCTCTCTCATATAGACAGCCACCGACTGGGGTCACCCAGGTACCTGAGGTTTCCTGCCGTCTCCCGGGAGCAGGGAAAGAAACCAGCCTGAGTCTCCTTAGAAACCTCCACAGCAGCTGTCCCCTCGGCTCTCTCCCTTGTTTCTGGAAGGGAAGCCTGGCTTTTCCCACTGACTTTGCAGCCAGAAGGTGGGACGTGGGAGCCTGTCTTTCCCAACAGTGCCCGTCGGTCTCCAGGGCTGTGGGAGCGGAGCAGCGGCGCAGCCCAGCGCCCAGCTCTGCGCGCAGAGCGCCGGGTGCTGGAGGGAGGAAGGACTTAGTCTGGGAAAGAGGGAAAGCGGCGCGCGAGCCTGGCCTTGTTACATCACTTTCAGAGCAAGCTCAGAAACAAAGACGGACGCGCGGGGGCGCGAGGGGATTAGACCCCGGGGAGAGGCCACCTGGGCAGAAGAGGCTGCCCAGGGTCCAGTCGGGGTGCTTGGAGCAGCCGGAGTTGGTCCCGCCGCTGCCCGGGAAAGCTGAGCAGGGCAACTGGACCCGCTTCTTCCCAGGGAGGGTTCGGGGTGCGAGGTTCCCGCGGGCCAGAGCCCTGAACTCTGGCCGATTTGCCCACGGGGCAGTCTGGGGCTCCGAGTCCGCTGTCCGAGGGACAGAGGGGCCAGCTGGAGATGTCCCTCGGTGACCCGGATCCTTCTCCAGTTACAGATCTGGGTGACCCGATCTGACCTATAGCAGTTCCCAGGAGGTTCCTCGATCGCCCGTCTCAGAACGTCGAGGCTTTCCGGGGTCCCGCCGCCCGCGACTGCTCTGGGTCTGGGCTCTGGGTCCGAGCTATGGTCGGGTCCGGGCTCCGGGCTCCGGGCTGTAGCCGCGCGCAAAAGCTCTCTAGCAGCGGAACAGACTGCGTTGCCGGAGCGCACGGGACCAGCGCCCAGGCTGAGTTAGTGGTCAGAAGTGGGTGCCGGGTCTTGCACGAGCCTTGGGGGAGTCACCAGAGACCTTCCCTCTGGTCTTACAGCTGTAGACCTTGGAGAGGGTGGCCTCGGAGGCCGGATCCCACTCCGACACGGCCGTGGTGCCAGTCATGCCGGCTGGGTCAAAGGAGAAAGGCTCTCCAGTCGCGGGTCCCCATCCCCGCACTTCGCCTCCAGCACCCAGCTGGCGAGGAGGAGGCGCCCACCAGTCCGCGATGCAGCTCCAGCTTTGAGCGATTCTTCCTCTTTTGCTGACGCTGGTGTGGAGAACCTGTCTCCTCCCCACCGCAGCAGGGGGCTGGATTCCTCTGGCCACAGGGGCGCGACTGGCTTTGGCTGGGGTTCTTCAACCAGGCCGCCCATTTAGAGTAGTTGGGGAATAATGAGGAGGAACAGGATGGCGGGTAAGGAGAGGGGAGAGGGAGGGAAAGGTGCCTTCTTTCATGCTCAGGCCCTGCCATGGTGGAAAGAATTTTGACATCTAGGCCTTCCCCACTTAAATTAGCCGCGTGTTCCTGGACAAGTGACTTAACCTCTCTGAGAATCAGTTGACCCATCTGTTAAGTGAAAATGTTACTATCAAATATGTGAGGGAACAACATTATGACAACTAAATAAACATAAAGCTCCCAGTTCAATGCTTGGTATGTAGTCCTTGTTTGCAAAATGGTTGAACTGTATATATGTGCACAGTATGTGATAATCAATGTAAGGGATGAGCCAAATCATGAAGAGCCTGTCTGTGGGGCTAGGGACCTTTGACTTTATCCACTAAGCAGTGAAGAACCATGGAAGTCGTCTTAGCAGGGATCAGCACAAAAGTATTCCATGTTTGAGAGATGGTGACAGCAGGCTAGAGGACAGGTTGCAGGGGGCAAGTGTGGAAGCAGGGAGACCTGTAGGAAGACAGCTCAGCAAGCCAGGCAAGACATGACATGGGCCTGAGCAATGCAGGGCATTAGGGATGGTTAGAAGAAAGTGAATCGGAAGGATATTAAAGGAATATTTAAGGAATCAGACTCAGTTTTCCACTCCAGTATCCATCGTGCGTGTCTCTTGTACTCATGCTCATTAGATAGTGGTGGTACCTCTGGACTTAGAATCATTATTTTGGAAGGAAGGAAGCAAGGGGGAAAGGCAAAGAGCAAAAGTGAGATGCCAACTGTTTGCCCATTTGGATCAGGAAAATCATTGTTTTCCTGGCAGCTTCACTGAGGAGAGAGACATCTGCTTATATCTAATTGGCCAGAAGGATGTCTAGGGGCCACCTCTAGGAGCAAAGGAGCCCAGGATATCAAGATTTTGTTTGGGGGATTTTTGGATCAGATTTATTGCTGCTCTGAAAAAAAAAATCAGAGTTTTGTTAGTGAGGAAAAAGAGGAGAATGAATATTGGAGAAGCAACCAGCAGTGTGTTGAACGTGCTTGTCTTCTTGACACCCTCTCTTCCCCTTCCTTTACTAGTGCCTTTCCATCCTGATTTCCCTCCTGTCTCCCTGGCCACTCATTTGTAGCCTACACTGTAAACTCCTCTTTATTTTTATTCATTTTAATTTATAACTAAGCCCTTAGATGTTGATATTCTGCTGGCTATGCTGATGACTCCTATATTTATCTCTTTAGCCTTGTCCTTTCCCCTTAGTTTCACACCTATAATATCTGGTTGTTTGCTTTCTATCTGTCTGTATGGCACATGGACGCTTTAAACTCAAAACACAAACTACACTCATCAAATTTCCTCCAGACTTGCTCTTTCTTTCCCATCTGACCCCCTCATTCTTCCTGTTTGCCCAACTAAGAAACTGTGGGGTTGTCCTCTATTTCTTTTTCTAACAACCTCCATCCAGTAAATCACTCAAATCATCATAGCCTTACCTTCTGAATTCCTTGATCTTCTCCTCTTCTACCTGTGACCTGAGACAACTCACTTTACCTCCCTGGGTTTCAGTTTCCTGGGAAACAAGGGCTTTGCCCAGAGCTGAGGTCCGTTTCAGCTCTCCTGTTCCATGGTTCTCTGGCAGTCACTTCTGCAGGGGTGAACGGATGTCAGTGTTGTGCAGATGCTCCGACAATAGTGCTGGAAACCTAGTTGCAGCCTAAAGAAGCAACATTACTGAACAGAGCCCTCCTCTCACTCACACAAGCATCTAATTCCATTTGACTTTTAAGCCATGCAGTTCATCTTCTTAGGCAGGAGATAAGACCCATGCATAAAACCACAGGAAACTTCAATTACTGTTTAATTATAAGCCTCATTTTTAAAGCGGCTCCTTCTTAGAGGTAATTTCAGATGGTCTTTGAACAGCGAGTATACTTGCCCAAGCCAGCAGCAAAAGTGGGTGGGGGTGGGAGACATAACTCAGGGTCACAATATTCAGAGACAGAAAAGGAATTCTCAATATTTAATTTCTTGCCTGTACAGGCTGATTTTACTAGGATTTGAAAATCTTAAACAGTTCTTGCGATGCTGTAAGCACATACAGCCAGTTACAAAAGCTTTTCATCAGAAGAAAAGGAAATTCAGGTTGGAATAAGGCTTTGGCATGTGGGTGTTTGAGAAGGAAATGTCAAACCTTTTATTTCTGAAATTATGGAAATCATGGGATGCTAGAATTTGAAGATACCTTATAGAGTATCTCCTCTAACTCCCTTAATCATACAGATGAAGTCCAGAAGGGCTGCAGTCGTTCGATACTACTTGAGTACTTACTGTGTCCCTGGCCCTGTGCTAGGTGCTGGGGATAAAGTCAGTAAGACACGGTCACTCACATTCACAGAGCAAGGCACGTGTAGAAGTTAGGATAGGATAGATTCTGCTGTGGCAACAAAAGACTTCCAGATCTCAAAGCCTATGTGCTCATCCTCTGTCTATCATGGGTCAAATGCTGCTTTGTTCCATGTTGTCTTCACTCTGGGATTCAGGATGCAGAGCAATCTCCAGTGGGGAAGTCGCCAGTCCGTCGAATCCAGGCACCAGAGGCCCTGCACTGAGCCTTCACTTTAATGGCTTCTCTTTGGCTCCCCCGTTTGTGCCCCTCCCTCTAGGCCAAAGAATCTGCCAAAGCAATGCCCCACCTGGAGACCTTACCCACCCTTTCTAGGCTGTGTGATGGGTAACTGGGACTCTAAAATTCCCTTCCCAAAGAATCTGGCACCTGCTTCCAGGGTTTGTGCACAGCTTTTCACTTGGTCTATCCTCCCAAGGGTTGACCATCCTGCAGGTGTGCACATCCCGAGGCCTGTGGCATAACCAAGAGGCCACTGTGTTTTGGGGGTACAGATAAAACTCAGGCATGCAGAATGGACTATTTATAGTGTGCATGTCAGCCTCTTCATGGTTCAGAACAGAACCAGAGGAAGGAAGAGAAAGATAACATTCATTTTACTCTTGAGCGGGGCTTCACACATGTTAGTGATAGGCCAGGTTGCAGGGTCTGGGGAAAGGAGGGAGAAGCGCCAACTCGTATTTTAAAAGGCTCCATCTTGCTGTTGTGTAGAAAATAGACTTCAGGTGGGTCAAGGGCAGAAGCAGGAAGACCAGTTGGGGTACTACGGCAACTGCTCAGCTAAGAGATGATGGTGGCTTGTGGATATGGCTAGAAGTGGTCAGATTCTGGGTATATTTTAATGTAAAACTGACAGTATTTGCTAATAAATTTGGGATGTGAGAGAAACTGTGTAATCAAGGATGATTCCAAGATTTGAAATTTGAGGTAGGATATCAGGAACTTGGCTTTGGACATGTTCACTTGATATATCAAAGTGAAGATGGTGACAGAGTTGATGTACAGTTCTGGAGTTTTGGGGAGAAATCTGGGCTGGAGATACAAATTTGGGAGCTATTGGGGCATGGTTAACATTTAAAGCCCTGGGACTAATGAGATAACTTAGGGAGCAGGCATCAATAAGTTAAAGAAGTTATAATACTAAGTACTAAGGAACAGCAACATTTTGAGGCTGGGGAGATGAGAAGGAACCAGCAAAAGAAACTATGAAGTGGCCAGTGAGGTGCGAAAATGAAGAGATGTCCAAGGAGCCAAAAGAAGAAAGCATGTCAGGGAGGGCATAGTGATTGCATCAGTTCTGTCGATAGGTCAAGTATGAAAAGGACTGAAAAATGACCACTGGACTTAGCAACATGGAGGTCACTGGTCACCTTTACAAGAGCAGTGCCAGTGGAGTGGGTGGGGGTAAAGTCTTGTTTGAAATGAGTCCAAAAGAGAAGAGGAATTGGAGTCAGAGAGCAGAGAGAACTCAATGAGTTTTGCTGTTAAGGAGAACAGAGAAATGAAGTGATAGCCAGAGGTCAGGGCGGGAGGTGGGGTCAAGAGGGAAAACTTTCTAAAAGATGGGAGCTCTCTTAGCACTTTGCCTGTACAGATGTAAATGCTCATTCCGGCACTTTCTCACAGGAGAGGAAAGAATATGGATGAATTGAGATGAAAAGATGAAAATTGAAGGAGAGCAAGTAGAATTTCTTGCATGTTGGATTGATGTTGAATCTGATGATTCCTCCCAAATTTATGCTAATCAGTTATGCTTTTGAGATTTCTTATAACCCTGCAACCTACAAACAATACATGTACTATTTCCCTCCTTTTTGATTTAAGTATGATTGTTTTGATGCAGCTGGCTAGAAGCTTGATATTTTTTTTCTTGGCTGTAATTCTGACTCATTTATTTAACAAATGTTATATTGAGAACCTCCTACTTATCTGGTTATGGTCATGCCTCCTCAGTACCTCCTCCCATCTTCTCTACCTCTTGGGAGGTAACTCTGATCTTTATTAAAGGCTACACTTAAACCTCTAACTCCTTATTTTACTTGGGGCCTCCAGAGATGTAAAGTAGCTGCAATTGGTTTTCCAGTGCTGAAGTAACAGACTTTTAAAACTCTTGCCACTCATTAGAATCCATTAGGTTGTACAGAACAAAGTACAAAGGAAGCCTAGAATTTTCACAAATCTTTTCATAAGTTTAAAAATAAAGCTAGTGCAAGTGAAGGTGTTAGATTAATGGTTCCAGAGATGAAAACCTTTTAGGTGTCTGAGTGGTTCCAGCCAAACATCCATTTGCTCTCCAGGACTGAGCTTGTTCAACAGCTTAGATCTTTCTTCATGTTGTCTTTCCTTTGATTCTGTACAGGATCTTTGGTTAAGGGAATAGTGGATGAGAAAATAGACTGTTAGGAATCATGAAGAGCTGGAAGTAGAGAATTCTGATGTGGTTTGATCCCCGAACTGAAG